CCAAAACCCCAAAACCCCAAAACCCCAAAACCCCAAAACCCCAAAACCCCACTAAACTAAAATAGGATAATTGCAAGGGTTTATAAATAATTGATCATAAATACGAGCAATTTAACAGCCAATAGGCTATGATAAGGTATATAGGTTAGGATATTCAATAGCTTCTTGATTATTCACACTGCACATGAATTGATAGCTATGATCATTCCCTGTTAGCTCTGTTTATCATTTACTATTACTATTGCTGCTATTACTATATCAGATATCTTTAATGAAGCATTTGATCGATAGCTTGTGGAATTTTTTGATTTCCATCGGAATGAATCACATTTTGCTACTATTGCTATTATTATTGCTGCATTAGACCCTTTTCATTGTTTTCTTTCTCGTATTTCCTTTAAGATGATTGTAGTGAATTATTCTATGATTTTTAAAGAGGCATGTTGCTGGTACTACTCTGATTTTGCTGATGTTACTACTGCTACTATTATTTAGTCATCATACTTCCCTTTAAAGCTTGGAAGCTGACAGCTATAAGTTTTTGAAGATTTTGCAGATCATTTGACATTTAAGACAGTTCGTCTTAAGATCTTACAGTTCTAACATTGCCTATCAGCTTATCCGTCATTTAAAGCAAATCATTTTCAAAAAGATTCGTCAAGGCAACTTTCTATTGCAAAACTCTCTCTATTTCATCGTCTTTACTAGTCAGTAGATTTTTCAAGGCGTCGTTCTTCTCTTCAGAAATCTTAAGCTTCTTTTCCATATACTGCAATTGCTGAATTTAACTATTATTGGCTAAAGCGCCTAGTGAACTTCCCGAATCACCACCAGAATTCATTTAATGTTGCATAGCCATTTAGATGTTCCTAACTCTTTCCTCTACTTCTTTCTAAACAATATGTTCGATTTTCTCCTTCAGTTATTCGGGTCTTACTGCAGACTAAAGTTGCGTTTGGAGAGCTTAGATTTCAGTATCTTTGTGATCGATTAGCCCTGTTAATTCATCTACTTTTTCATCTGCTGTTAAAAGCTATAAGGGTACATCATCTTTCTCCTCGTCACCTAGATGATATTGCTCAAAAGGAAGATACTTTCTGGCCTAATCATTGCTATTTCCATTTTGAGACGACTCGAACTAGCTGTTCATTTATAGAGGCTTGTCAGCCCCATCTTCATCGAACGGTATCTCAACTCCTTTCTATTGCATCACTGCCTCTAGCTGCATAATTCTATCTTGCTTCTTTTCCACAACAGTCTCAGTCTCTCTGTGAATTCTTTCATAAGCATCTAGTTCTTCTTATAGCTATATGATCGTTTCATCTCTCTCATTCAGTCTAGCTGTGAGAGCTATCATTATATCTCTTTGCTTCAGAAGAAGTTATTTGTACCTGTCAACCTAAGCCTTATCTTCTTCTATTTGTTGTCTTTCTCGTTCTAACTCACTGAGTTTACTTTCATATTCTTGTCTTATCAATCTTTATTTCTCCTCAAGCGCACTTTTAAATTATGGAGTATCCTCGATTTTTTTTCCTCCAATCAGAAGTTAGGAGTTAAGCATTTTGATCTTTTCTTCGAGCTTCTTTTTTTCCTCTTTTTCTATCATATACTCTCTAGATCTACTTTCTAATGCAGTAATAGCTGCAATTTTATCTTCCTCTGCTCTTCTCTTTTGCTGTTCTAGTCTGAGGACACTTTCTTTATCGAAAACATTCTAGCTTCTTTATTCAAGCTCTTCTCTTAACTTCTTCAATTCATTTTCGTATTTTCTAAGCAAGGCTCTTTGATCTACATCCTCATTGATTTTGGCTTCATTCTTAATTTTCTTGGCTCTAGTAGCAAATTTAAGAGTAGAAAGACTTTCGCTGAATGAATCGAAAGCTGGAGAGACCATAGCCATCATAGTAGTCTTACAGTTTCCTCCTAGGGAATCCTCCAATAGTCTGGTTAGTTTAGAGTCTCTGTATGGAATGTGATTTCTTGCTTTCATATCTGTAAGTGCTGCAATTACATTACCCAATGCTGAGAGTGATTGATTGATTCTCTTGCATTCCTCGAGTCTAATTCCAGTTGCACCAGTTACTCTGACTCTTTCGCTACCAGCTAAGTCGACTAAGTTGAGTTTTCCAACTTTTATTTGCTTTGATACGTCATTATTTTCCTAATTCATTGTCATCTACTCAACAATCATTATGAAAACTGCATGTGACCTAGAGGAAACATCGTTCATCTTTGTTGCTGCAGTGGTTCTTACCATAGCTCCTCTTTGCATCAAGCTATAAATTTCATGAGGAGTTCTTACAGCCCATTCTGATAATCCTTCTACAAATACTCCACGCTTTTTATCTTCTCTAATTTGCAGACTTGATCTCTCAGTTTTCAAAAGATCACTTATATTCTCATTATATATTTAGAGATAACTAGCTCTGACCATAAATGTGCTATGCATATTTGCACCATTCTGGATATATCTAAATATTTCTTCCATTGCTCTTGGGATTATACCTCTTTGAGGATCATTCTAATGGCATTTAAATCCTTCCATCGTATAGGTTTTACCAGTTCCAGTCTGACCATAGGCTAATATAGTAGCATTATATCCCTCTAATACAGATAGTACAGCTGGTCTAGCTGTGTTTTCATAGACATGAGATTAAGTTGAATCTGGACCATATACATAATCAAATGCAAATTGATGTCTTGTGATAATGTGGGGATTCTCAGCTATATCTCTTTGTCTTCCATGTTCTGTAACCTCTGCTCCCAAGTATTCTTGGATAGAACATGATTTATTGTCTGAAGATATTTAGGTAATTGGTAAGAACTCAAGATTCTCATTTTGCTCTCTTGGAAGTGGTGGTCTGATTCTTATTACTACTTTGAAATTTTGATTCCCAGTCATTGCACTCATTGATTGCTAATTGAATCCAGTCATTGACTAACCCATGCTAGATGATGCCATACTATTAGTTAGATTATTAGGTGTGTTGTTCTAACTCTATAGGAATGATGAATGAGATTGTCGATCAAATTAGTCTATCAAAATTTAAAAAAATCAATTGATATCATACCTGAATATTAATTAGGATTTGCGTTGTTAAACCCACCTTGGAATTGCTGCTAAGGTGCCTGTTAATTAATTTGGAACATATTATTTTACTAAGCCAATCCTTGACCAAACTTATTCATTTATTGGAGGCTATTTTAATTCAATGCAGCACTTTGCATTTAGGGTTATTGCTGCTATTAGGTTCTCATCATTTAAATCTATTGCTGTAAGTAAGGGTTTCCAGCTGAAGAGCTGTTGTTGGTGGATCCCTAACTGACACCACTTATGTGAGACAATGCACTATTACTGGTGATTGTACCAAGTGGACTAGGAGACATTTAATTTAAGAGTTGCTGTTATTGCTAAATGCCGAATGAAGGAGAAGCCATATTTGAAGACTAATTCTACTACTGCTATTGGTTCTACTATTATTACTGCTGTTATTATGCTATCATCTATCTTAAGAACTAGGCTGTTGCATCAGTCTAAAATAGATCAAAAATTAGAAAAAGAGTTTACTGGATATGAATTAGTTTGTTAGCGATTCATAATTATCAAATTTGTAATTTATTTAAATTAACAATATGATTAAAATCTACTGATTGATTCTATACGGGGTTTTGGGGTTTTGGGGTTTTGGGGAGATCGGAAGAGCACACGTCTGA